CGGGAGGGGGATGAGTCCTATAGACCTCTATGGGGTTCTTCTATGTTGATCTACTGGGTGGGAGATAAGTCCTGTAGACTTTTATGGGGCTCTTCTATCTTTGTCTCTGGTACGGGAGATGTGTCCTATAGACCTCCACGGCCTGTTTTATCTCCATCTCCCAGCCAGGAGAAGAGTTCTTTGGACATTTATGAGGCTCTTCTATCCACGTCTCCTGGCCGGGAGATGAGACCTGTAGACTTCTATGGCGCTCTTCTATCTATGTCTCTGGGATGGAGGATGTGTCCTATAGACTTCTATGGGGCTGTTCTATCTCTGTCTCCCAGCCAGGAGAAGAGTCCTTTAGACATTTGTGAGGTTCTTCTATCTTGGTTTCTGCGGTGGGAGAGGAGTCCTATAGACTTCTTTGCCGCTCTTCTATCTCGGTCTCCTGGCCAGGAGATTAGTCCTGTAAACTTCCATGGTTCTCTTCTATCTATGTCTCTGGGACGGGAAATGTGTCCTATGGACATCTACGGGGCTGTTCTATCTCTGTCTCCCAGCTAGTAGAAGAGTTTTTTTGACATTTATAGGGCTCTTCTATCTCAATCTCTGGGAAGGAGATGAGTCCTATAGACTTCTATGAGGCTCTTCTATCTCCATCTCTCAGCTGGTAAACAAGTCCTATATACGTCTATTGGGCTGTACTGTGCAGACATGGTCAGGAGAGAGAGGCACAGGATGTCAACAAACACAGGAGGCCATGAGCTAGGTAAATAGACTGTAAACTACCCTTGCAGTGGGGCTACAAGGGTCAAATGCTCATTTAGGTCTAGGGTATTTAGAAAAGCAGTTTTACTTAAATATTCTCCACTCCCCCACCAGTCAGCTTGTGACCTGTCCCCCAGCATCCTCATGTATTTCATTAAGGGGTCACCCTTACTGATGTCCACCTACAACTGAGTGGAGTAGAGTTGACTTTGACTAGTACCTGCTGCCTCCTTGGTTGGACAGGCTGATTACTAATGTCTCAGTCTCAACTCTATATACAAAACTAAGTTATGTATATAGAGGACCTGGATAGAATCTGGGAATGGGCAACTGTATGTCAGATGAAGTTCAATGTCGATAAATGTACAGTAATGCACCTTGGATTAAAAATAGGCAAATTGACTATACACTTATGGGTGTCCCACTAGGGAAGTCGGAAACGGAGAAAGATTTGGGGGTCATTGTAGATCGCAGATTGAATAACAGCTTGCAGTGCCAGGCTGCTGTAAACAAAGCAAGCAGAGTCCTGTCTTGCATTAAGAAGGGAATGTATTGCAGGGACAAGTCTATAATTTTGCCTCTTTATAGATCACTGGTTCGGCCACATCTGGAGTATGCGGTCCAGTTTTGGTCGCCAGTACTCAGAAAGGATGTCCTTGAGCTGGAAAAAGTCCAGAGGAGGGCAACCAAGCTCATTAAGGGGTTCGAGGATCTGAACTATGAAACAAGGTTGTTAAAATTAAATATGTTCTCGTTGGAGGTTAGGAGATTAAGGGGGGACATGATTTTCATGTATAAACTATTCAAGGGCGACAGCAACCTTAGTAACAAACTGTTTACGGTCAGCTCCGTAATAAAGACCAGAGGGCACAACCAAAAATTGGTGGAAAAAGAATTTCAACATACAGGGCGCAAGGAGTTCTTCACAGTTAGAGCGGTTAGGGTCTGGAACTCGCTCCCGCAGGAAGTGATTTCGGCTAAGAGTGTTGAATCATTCAAGAGACTCCTGGACGAGTTCCTTGGAGACCGTAACAAAAAGGGGTACAGGTACTGCTAGGAGAAAAATCACACATGGACTCATAAACACGCACACACCTGCTCATAAATGCATACACGCAATAGGTTGGACTTGATGGACTTATGTCTTTATTCAACCTCAAATACTATGTAACTATGTTTTTATACTTCTACAATACACAGATAACCTTTTTGTTTTTTCCTTTTTATCCTTTTAGATGGCTGATTAACCAGTAGCACATTGGAAGTATTTTACAGTCCTGTTTCAGAGATGCAGGATAAAAGCCACACTGAAACCAAACAGCGTGAAGAAGACCTTAGTAAGAAGCTAAGACTGAGAAACAGACGGCCTACTAAGAATGCATCTGACGATCCTGCATCTGATGAAGGGAAAACCAGGGTTGCTGCACCCAGTGACCAGACGCAAGCCTCTGAATCTGACATTTGTGAGGATCAAGTGTTAGAAGACAGCCATGATGGCTTAACTGCTGAATATAAAACCGTACAGGTTAAAGAAGAAGACACCTATTTTGGGGTGGAAGGTGTGGACAATTCTGAGGTTGTTACTGTTCAAGTGTGCCCCACTACCCAATATGAACAGTCAAGTGACGCACTAAAGTGCAATATAAGCCGATCAAAAGAGATTCCAGAGGACATCAGAAGAAGGATTATTGAAGCTCATAAGAATGGAAAGGGCTACAAAAAAATTTCTAAAGACTTGGACCTCCCTCTGTCAACAGTCAGGCATATAGTTTGCTGAATCTGACATTTGTGAGGATCAAGTGTTAGAAGACAGCCATGATGGCTTAACTGCTGAATATAAAACCGTACAGGTTAAAGAAGAAGACACCTATTTTGGGGTGGAAGGTGTGGACAATTCTGAGGTTGTTACTGTTCAAGTGTGCCCCACTACCCAATATGAACAGTCAAGTGACGCACTAAAGTGCAATATAAGCCGATCAAAAGAGATTCCAGAGGACATCAGAAGAAGGATTATTGAAGCTCATAAGAATGGAAAGGGCTACAAAAAAATTTCTAAAGACTTGGACCTCCCTCTGTCAACAGTCAGGCATATAGTTTGCAAATGGAAAAAATTCAGCACCGTCGCCACTCTCCCTAGGAGCGGGCGTCCTACAAAGATCGGTGCAAAGGCGCGCCGTACAATTCTCAAACATATGACAGAGAACCCTTTGGTGAAAGCTAAAGATCTGCAGGCATCTCTAGCACTTGATAACATCAACGTCCATGAGTCTACTATAAGAAGAACTGTCAACAAATGGTGCTCATGGGACTTTACCATAGAGGAAATCACGGCTCTTCAAAAAAAATAATTTCTACTTGTCTAGTTTGCAATAGTCCATGTGCTTGTTCCACATCAGTAATGGAACAGTGTTCTGTGGGCAGATAAGATGGAACATTTTGGTAAATGCACTTAGCGTTATGTTTGGAGGACACAAACCACCTGCCAACACCAAAACCTCAACTGTAAAGCATGGTGGAGGCCTGAGCTAAAGAATGCCATACAACCAGTCTTGTTTGAAAAGTTATAAAGGACATTGTGCCAAATATGTAAAACAGCTTGAATGTGGTTTGTACACTGCCTGGTGCTTTTACAGGTGCCTAGTCTGTGAAAAAGAAGGTGGAGGCCAAGATGCCATAAAAATCAAATTGTCTAAAACTCTGTGGGTGAATCATCTGTTGTTTAAAGATAGAGTTCGGCAGGGGAATTTCAGCGTTGAAAACAAATGTATAGAAAATGCTCCCCCACATGCCCTGATCTCGATCACTCAAAATGAACCCTAACCCTAAAAATGAACCTAGCCCTAACTTCTACCCAAACTTAAAGGGAACCCGTCTCCAAGGGTTTATTTAATAATCTGAATCTCCACTTTTGCATTCTTCCAACAGTAGAGCCTTACTTACCAGGGATTACGTGATTTTGAACCACCAATAATGGCTATCGTATCACATTTCTAAGCTCAGTGCTGCTTAGAGATACTCACAAAACTGTCATATCAGTAGTCCTGACAGTATCACATGATAGGAGATTGAAGGCTTTGGTAATTGACAGTTTAAGGGCTTGTGTACATGGGTGTTGTATGGCACACTTTAAATGCAGGTCAGCAGCTTCCTATTGACTTCCTATTGAAAGGAGTACTGTAGATCCTTGGTTCTCAACTGGTGGGTCGTGACCCAAAAGTGGGTCGCGACCCCGTGTTCAGTGGGTCACCACATACCTTCCACTTTTCTAGGTGAGAGGATCCTCAGCCTCCCCCTAGCGCAGCACTGTCAGTTCTCGTGCCAAGCAGCCATTCAGAATATGCTGCCCGGTGCCAAGTGTCAGCTTGAGGTGGGGTGGGCTGGAGGTACGGCCGCGAGGGAGCTCCATCCATACATGCATTGCTTACAGCTCCCTCACGTGTCCTATAGAGGTGCCTGGACCGGAGTGACATCACATTCTGGCTCCCGGCGCCTCTATAGGGGACGCTAGGGAGCTGTAGAAGCAATGCTCGTACACCCGCATTGGAGCGCGCGGTATCCTAGTTCCGTTCATTCCATTGCAGTGCAACTTGGGTCGCAAATTAATGACCGAGGACACATGTGGGTCCTGAGGTTACACAGGTTGAGAACCACTGCTGTAGATGACCGTTCAGAGGCTTCAATTTACCTGCCTTGCACTGGATTTTCTTATTCTCACTACATGGAATACACAGGAAATGAGAGACTGTTGGGTTATACAGTCATGGCCAAATAAATTGCATTTCTGTCAGATAATGCACCACTTCGCACAAGAAATTGTTGCAATTACAAATGTTTAGGCATTCTCATGTTTATTTCTTTTGTCTGTATTGGTATAACACAACAAAAGTGGAGTAAAAAACCCCCAAATTTGACACATTCCACGCAAAACTCCAATAATTATTATTTAATTTTCAATATGAAAGGAATGGCAAAATAAAAACTCCATTTACTTCCTGTATTCTTCTTTGAATACAACTATAGGAATATTCTCATTAATAATATCATTGTCGACAGAGAAAGGCTACTTCCTAAAAGTCAAAACACATTGTACACTACACACATTCCTATTTTTTATCTCTCTGCAAGTCAGTTTGCCCTTCTTCAAAATGGCTGCTGAGCAACATCCTGTCCCAGTAGCAGCATTTCCTGTTGCTATGGCAACAGAACTCTTGCACATGCCCAGTAGCCAGTGGAGGAGGCTCATGTGACCTGTGTGCACTGTGGAACTCCTGGGGGCCGGGCCGGGTTGTTGTCGTCACATTGTTGAAGGAATGCAGAGAGAAGAAGGGGGAGAGTGTGGCCCCTGGAACCAGGTAGAGGGAGAGCAGAGAGCCCAGAGCTCTTCGGGTGGTGTTTGGGCTCCAGTGCTGATGGGATAAGGTTGGGCAGGGGGCATTTACTGAGTCCAGGGGACTGTTATCCAGGAATAGACTCCGATGTCTCAGGACTGAATCTCTGACTTTGGCATAAGATTGGTACACGATAGGATGTGTGGTGTGTAGGAAGGGATTAGAGATGTCTGCCAGAGAGACGAGTATAATAGCTTTCTACTGCAGGGACCTTTTAATCCGAAACTTTTTTGCCTAACAGGGCTCACCTTATAGGAGAACTATGAGGTGGGTGCTTTTCACTCACCTCATAGTTCTAGCCGACCTGTGACAATGAGACTGTCACAGGTCGGCTCAGTAGATCGGGAGGTGAGCGAACAGATACCGGCGTTCGCTCACCTCTCCATCCTGTCACGGCTCTCTGCCGTGACAGGGGAGGGGCTGGATTCCCCCCTCCCCGCTCCGATCCTCCAGCGCTCACTGATCACTGATACCCCTCCCCTCATCACCTGAGTCAATCCCCACGATCACTAATACCCCAATTTATCACCTTAATCAAACATAGACTTCACTAATACCCCCAACCCCCTCCACCACCACCTTATCAAACAAGTCAACCCACTATGATCACTAATCTGAACTAAGTAACAGGGCGGTGAAGGAAAACTGAGTAGGTACTTCTATGGGTCTGGGCATTGAAGGAAACCTTTTATTTTGCCCTGCATGAGCAAAGAACAAGTTTGCTGTAAATGATCACAGACGTGCAGGTTTACATTTACCTCGCTATTTAGTTTATCTTACTGACGTTAAATTGTGGGCACTAGAGGTTACCTGAACTCTAAGGCTGCTGACTGAACTTGTGTTGGTAACGCATGCCATCTCTTGATTGTTCACAACAATAACATGACCAAGTCCGCCCATAGATAAAGGAGCAGTTTTCACTGGGACAGGTGTCTATATTGTCCGCTCATTTCCTGTCACAGTGACAACTGTCAAATTTGGATTTCCCATCACTTTCTGTCTCCGTGATGATGGCCCCCAGGACAAACAGAGACGGTGAATCTCTCCAACAGGGACACAGCAGTAAAAACCTAACGGGGTTCTATTCCTTCCATGCTCTTATAAAACACACCTCTACCCTTCAAACTCTAACCTCAAACCTCTTTTAAGCCTGACCAAAACGTTTTAGCATTAACTCTAAGCACAATAGAACAACCATTTTTCCTTACAACGCCCAGTTATACAAATCTATTATGTGTTCTGTTGTTTGATTTTCCTTATTCCATAGCTCCACCATAACTAGTCACCACATACTGTCTATACAGTTGGCATTGAAAGTTTCCACCTTCATCTTTTTTCTTGTAGATGGAACTTTAACCAATAACACGTTGGAGATATTTCACCGTCCTGTCTCAAAGATGGAGGATAAAAGTCATAATGACACCAGTCCACGTGAAGATGGTCTTAGTAAAAAGCTAAGTGTGAGGAAAGGGCGGTCTGCTGGAAGGACATCTTACAGGTCTGTATCTACTGGAGGAGAGACCACCACGACTGTATCGAAAGACCAGACAAAAACCTCAAATCCTGACTCTTGTGAGCAGGAAAAGTTAGATGGCCATGACAGACTTGCAGCAACAGAAGGAAACATTCAGGTGAAAGAGGAACAAACATCCTCTGGGGAAGAAGACACATCTTCTTGGGAAGGAGATCTGAGGAACATTGAGACTGGTGTGGATAAAGATTCTGCAGTTAACCAGCTTAAACGGGGGCGGGACATGTCAAAGTGTAATATAGGCCGATCCAAAGAGATCTCTGAGGACCTCAGGAAACAAGTTGTTGAAGCTCATAAAAGTGGAAAGGGTTACAAGAGGATTGCCAAAGACTTGGACTTGCATCGGTCCACAGTCAGGCAGATTGTTTACAAATGGAAAAAATTCAGCACCGTCACCACTCTCCCTAGGAGCGGGCGTCCTACAAAGATTAGTGCAAGGGCGCGCCGTACAATCCTCAAACATATGACGGAGAATCCTAGGGTGACAGCGAAGGATCTGAAGGCATCTCTGGCACTTGATAATATCAACGTACATGAGTCTACCATACGGAAAACACTGAACAAGTGGTGTTCGTGGGACTTTACCGTGGAGGAGGCCACTGCTCTCCAACAAGAATAATTTGGGTCTGTCTCATGTTTTCTGAAGACCATGTGGGTCAGAGCACTAATGGAATCATTTTTTTTTAATGGACAGGTGAGACAACCATTCATTTTTTTTGGTAAATGTACATAGCATTGTTTGGGGAGAAAAAGGCTCAGTCTACCAATACTGATCATTCGTCCAAAGTGTGAAGCATTGTGAAGGGAGCTTCATACATTTGCTGCCTCAACACATGGATGGGTTGCAGGTAATGAGGGACCAATTAATTCAAAATTTCATCAAATTCATCTGTAGAATGTCAAGATATTTGCCCGGGATACCTGGGCAGGTTGGCAATGCAACATGGGGGTGACCTAAAAATCAAGTATATGTAAACCCTAACTGAATGATATTTAGATTGCTAAAGCATTGTGTATCATAAACGACTGCCACGGTTTATTATACTATGAAGTACTGTTTTAACCTTTTTTCCATTCTGTTTTGCATCTCGGCACTACTGATGTTCTCCCGCCTTTTTCATCAAACTTCCTGTCTATCTGCACTCTCTGCAGCACCAGCTACATTCAGTATCACTGCTCAGTTTACGAGCAGTGACAGTGGCAGACCATGCTGGCACAATGTGTGCCATCATGGCCAGCTATTTCATACTCAGGGGGCACATGTGTCAAGTTGACAAAGCAGGACCAGAGCTAGTCACCAAATAGCAAGGAATGGGAAAATCCTATGCTCCTCGGCTCCATCTAGTGGGAGTAATGCCCTGTGAACGGCGTTCAGTCAGCTAAATGCCGGGTGAACGCTTTGTAAATCAGCCTCTAAGTGTTTGGGTTTAGATCTACTGTAGCAACAGGGTAACTGTACACACATTTCATATTTTAGAATGACCAACTCAGAAACCGGACCTCAATCTCTTTTAAATGCTGTGGTGGGCCATAGGCCAATGCTGTGGTGGGCCATAGGCTAAAGCTGTGGTGGGCCATAGGCAAATGTTGTGGTGGGCCATAGGCCAATGTTGTGGTGGGCCATAGGCCAATGTTGTGGTTGGCCATAGGCCAATGTTGTGGTTGGCCATAGGCCAATGTTGTGATGGGCCATAGGCCAATGTTGTGATGGGCCATAGACCAATGTTGTGATGGGCCATAGACCAATGTTGTGATGGGCCATAGACCAATGTTGTGATGGCCATAGACCAATGTTGTGATGGGCCATAGACCAATGTTGTGATGGGCCATAGACCAATGTTGTGATGGGCCATAGACCAATGTTGTGATGGGCCATAGGCCAATGTTGTGATGGGCCATAGACCAATGTTGTGATGGGCCATAGGCCAATGTTGTGGTGGGCCATAGGCCAATGTTGTGGTGGGCCATAGACCAATGTTGTGGTGGGCCATAGACCAATGTTGTGGTGGGCCACAGACCAATGTTGTGATGGGCCACAGGCCAATGTTGTGGCGGGCCACAGGCCAATGTTGTGGTGGGCCACAGGCTAATGCTGTGGTGGGCCATAGACCAATGTTTTGATGCTCCAAAGACCAATGTTGTGATGGGCCGTAGGCCAATACTGTGGTGGGCCATAGGCCAATACTGTGGTGGGCCATAGGCTAATACTGTGGTGGGCCATAGGCCAATACTCTGGTGGGACATAGGCTAATGGTGTGGTGAGCCATAGACCAATGCTGTGGTGGGCCATAGGCTAATGCTGTGGTGGGCCATAGGCTAATGCTGTGGTGGGCCATAGGCTAATGCTGTGGTGGGCCATAGACCAATATTGTGATGTGCCAAAGGCCAATACTCTGGTGGGCCATAGGCCAATGCTGTAGTGGGCCATAGGCTAATTGTGTGGTGGGCCCAGGTATAGCATCCCAAAAGTTTATAGGTTTACACTTATTGCAATAAGTGTAAATCTTTGCATGACACGTCAATAAAAGACGTTTCTCTACCTTGGAGTGCCGGTGTCCATAATTCCTTATACTCTATTCAGACGGTGGCCATCCGTCGACTACCGATGCATCCAACCTAACATCACGGATTAAGCGGTAAGGAGTGCAACTGGTACACTGACTGTAAAAGTTTATAGGTGGCGCAAACGGCCTTGCTCGCTGAATAGGCCAAAATACATTCCAACTACTGTGCAGGTCTGGAAAACAGCTTAAAAAATTGGTGAAGATTATTTTTCCAATAAATCTTTTTTGCTAGGTACTGAATATAAGGGTTGATGTTCCCTAACTATTAGTTACATTGTCTAAAGCTGAACTCCAGGCAGACACACTAATCACTAATACATCACTACAGTTTTTTTCTCTTTTGGTTACTAACAGTGTAAGCAGCTGAATCTGTCCTGGTATCAGCATCTTCCAGGCCCTGTATAGCTGGGCTGGTGTGTGAGAGGAAGTAGCAGCACAATTTGACAATACGTTTTTATGCCGACAGGGAGCATGGTGATAGGAGGAGAGAGCAGAATGACAGCAGGATGAGCTCTTCACTGTGTTGCTTCTCCTTTTACTGTCCAGTCACAGGCTGGGGGGCGGATCCACAATGACCTGGGCATAGAGGAAGTGGGTAGAATGATGCCGGCCTTCTAGCTGCAAAAAAAAGTGTCTGATTTGAAGGTGAATATTGCAGCAAAAGCTGGTTTTGTTATTTTTTTTCTTCTAGTGGGCTATTCACCTTCTTCATCATGTTGTTTTTGACTGGAGGTCTTCTTCAAACCATATGTTCAATAAAGCTGTGGCAATAATAAATGATATGTGTTGTTTCTTAAATGTTGTCCACGTCTAAGGTCTGGTAAGTGATAATAAATGTCCTTTTTGTTTCAGGAGATACGTGCTTACTTCCTGTCCCCCAAAAATGTTGGCATACAAAAATGAACTTATCCATTGTTGTCTATTGTACAGTACTTTCCAAAATGAATGAATTACTATGGGAACAAAGATACAGAGATCTTATTCTAACTCAATAATATGAAAATATGGATTACATATTTGTATTTTTATTTATGTATATACAAATTATTTATTGATACAAAATCGCCTTCCAAGGTCACAAAGAATTAAAAAGATTTCAAATAAACATGGCCACACATGGACTACCCAGCAAAACGGAAAAAACAAACAAACAACTTATTTTCTCCTCAGCTCCATCTAATGACCACAGTGTGGTATTTTCCTAATATTAAATCTGACTTGAAAAGAAAATCTAATAAGGACGTTCGTTTTTGCCTCTATTCGCACAGGACGAACATTTACGGAGTTTTGCAGGATGAATGGCTCTGTGAATTGTTTAGAAATACACCCCTATGTCATTCTGCCCATCCTGTGAACCCCAGCCTCCACCTAAGGGGGTGCCATAACACGGGCTGGGCTCATAGTATTCCAGGACTGAACGGTACTCACGCGTCATAGCGCCTCTCAATCCTGGAAGAATTCCACCCTCCGCCGGCGCCAGAAGAATTAGTAGAAACTGGGGATGAAATCTCGGACCGGCAGGAGGACGACTAGAAAAAAAGGTAAGCATGGGGGTTTAAAAAAAAAAAAATGGGGTAGGGCAGAATGCTAGGGCAGGGGGATGCAGGTGAGTGGATCTACAATTCCTGGAGTTTCACTTTATTGTTTAAGCACAACTATTTTTTTCATCTAGTAATTACATTCTATTTATGTGTGTATATATACACTGAGTGGCCAGATTATTATGACCACCTGACGTTTGTAGGCAAATTAGCTATAATTTGGCACTGAAGTTGCTAGAGGGCCAGACCATTATAAATAGGGAACCAGGTTGTTTACCACGACAGTAGAAGTGATTTTTTTCTGAAGATACGGGGAAACAACGCGATTTAACAGCCTTTGAGCGTTGGATGATTGTTGGCGCTCGGAGCCATGGCCCGAGTATCAGCAAAACAGCAGAATTCGTTAAATGTTCAAGAGGGGCTCATTGTTAAAGTGTTTAAAGACTGGACTGTCAGCCGAAAATCTGGGTCTGAACGTGCGAATTGTGGCCGCCAGCGACTAGTCAATGTTAAGGCAGAACGGAGAGTGGCAAGACTGGTACAAGACAACAGAAGGACAACAGTGCAGTGTCAGATTCCTCGCATCACCTTTCATCATCTCGTGGAGGCACGAGGCGGCCCAACGAAGTACTGATGGGGTGGTCGTAATAATCTAGCCACTAAGTGTATATATATATACAGTGTATATACACATATACACACACACTATATTTCCAAAAGTATTGGGACAAAAAAAGAAAAGGTGTATCCAGAAACATGGCTGCTATTTCGATTAACCTTTTCCTCACAAATGTTTACTAGTGTCTATGCTCAACAGTCCTTTACTAAACATGCAATACTGAGAAAGACTCGGCACTGATTCAAAAGAAGAATCAGGCCAAAGTAGTTATAAATGGTCGGTAGCCACTTAATTCAGTAAAAAAACACTTTATTTTAAACAGTACAAATTGTTGCACACGAGTAACAACCATATGACACGACACCACACCTCCACCTTGCTATAGGCTGAAACATAGACAACGTTGTCTCACTCGCATCTCTCACTCATACGGACTTGCTGATAGAATTCACGATTGCATGCCGGTGGAGCTCAAAAAAAGAAAGTGTCTAATAAGTAGCCTTTAAAGTGCACTTTGAAACGAAAAGAGAAACATTATCCAGTAAATGGTAACTGAGAGTCAATAACATCGATGATAATATATAATGGAATAAACCACTTCTCCAATTATATAGTGTACTGGAATACACACTTTTTGGGGAGACTGAAAGGTGTGGGAAAAGGACTGGATCTCAGGGAGCGTTTTTTTCTAGTTCTCACCTACCACAGTTACATCCCCTTGTATTGTCAAACAAGTGGTAGGTGTGAAAGTAGTATATTCCTCATTGGAGGTGTACTAAATAGTCTTGTTGTACGTTGGTCACAGACTCATTTGTCCAATGTAGTTTTATAGACTCAAATGGTAGCTCTACAAAGGAAGTCCCATTGAGGAGTAGTTTCATAATCTACTAATAATAAGTAAGTAATAAACTAATAGAACTATGCGCTGACCCCGCTCTGTCATTTTATGTGGCCTACCACTTCGTGGCTGAGTTGCTGTTGTTCCCAGTTGCTTCCACTTTGTTATAATACCAGTAACAGTTGCCGTGGAATATTTAGTAGCAAGGAAATTTCCCAGAATCCAATAATTTGAAGGGGTATCCCAATACTTTTGGCAATATAGTGTATATATATAATCACCCTTTGTGCATATTTTTTTTATCTTTTTTTGTTTGTACGTTTTAGGCACTATTGAAGCTTGGCAACTTTGGCTGGGAGTTATAATTGTGGGTTTTTGATCAGAAAGTTCATAATATAAATATATTTTTAATTTTTACTTAAATATATGTATATATATATATAAAATTATTAATGAATTAAATAATTAAATTCATTAATAATTATTTCAATGAATATAACATTTTTTATTTATGGCACAAATTAAATTTTTGAACAATATTGGTAAGGATTTAATGACTTGCTTTACCCAATAAACCACAGCCAGAGTTGCTTGTGAAGTTTCCCAAAACCGAGGGCCTTATTGGGTGCAGAATTCAAGTACCCAACCTACAGCTGATTTTGAACCTACAAGATATACGCTCACAGCAACCTGGTTATCCATCAGCCGTCTGTTTCCCCAGAGCCATAAACATCTATCACGCTGGACTCACAGTCTATTGACTTACAACTCTGAGACAAAGAAAGAGCTCAGAAGGACATGACTTATCAGGCAAGGATGATGTTCCGTTTTGGTTAAGGCGTCTGAGGACTCCCCTCGTTACATGTAGTGAGGGGAGTCCTATGTCTGGATGCTGCCGTGTTAGATTACATGTTTACTTTCATTAACCCCGTACAATAATGTAAGCACCGAAATTCTGCCACTGAAAGTTACAGTCGCCATTCTAGATCACTTATAAAAGCAGGTTGCTGCACTTTGTCTCTAAGGAGAACTATGGGGAAAAGCCTTAACCCCATAGTTCTCCTTTAAAACCTTTTTTATCCTTTTCACACTCTGTGATTGGACAAGTGGAGATTGTGATGTTCATCTGCTCCTCCCTTGTCCAATCGCAGAACCTATCGTAATCCATGCAAAGGACGGACAAGGTGGAGTGACCTGTGGTCCATCTGCACTTCCATCTGCTGGCTGCTACACCAATTTTTTTTAAGCTCCGTGGTGCATGTATCGTTATAAAAACCCGTATGAGCAAGTGAACCATGAAATTGAGCACACAAAAAAAGTGCACACGGTGCTTGGTCCTCCTCAGAAAAAGAGGGCCATGATTTCCCTGAACCCCATGGGTGAAAGGGTCCTGAAAGGGGCAAGGCACTCTAGTCCACCCAGCAGTTAATCCAGGCAGACCCTGATCCTTGGAACCAGCTAATGTCGCTCCACTAAGTACTTGGTGAGAGCTCTCCCAAAGAGAGGCCAGGGAAGGAAAAAAACCCCATAAAGGCCCCAGATCCTCCCCCCAACATCAGGGCAGGCCCCCAAAAGACCAGTACCCTCCATAGTCTGTAAAGTAGTTATGATAAAATAAATATGTGCTATAAATAAATAGTGCCACATTCAGGACATGGCCGACCTTGTGACCAGTGCAGGAATTTCTCCAGACCAGCCAGAAGGCCTGCCTAGGAGGCGTGCAAGAAAAGCAATAGTTGACATGACCATGTGCTAGGTTCCACACTGTGGAGTCCCAAACCCATTGTGGTTCTCTGGCACCCCTGGGGCACCAAGACCAGGGAGCACATCACCTCTTTGTGCTTCCAGGCCATCCAGACAAGAGCAGCCCCATTCCTACCAGAAGAGCATAGAAGGGTTTCCTGCCTACAACTGGAGACAAGCCTGGTGCACCAGGACAGAACCAAACCAGGAGGAAATTGACCCCCCCCCCCTTCCCAAGCACCCCACTATTACTCCAGGGAGTACTAGACTGCCCCTAAGGCAGGGCAGGAAGGAACCTGATGTGGTAGTGTAGACTCTCGAATTCTAAAAACGAGCAAAAACACAAGTTTTTCCTATAGAGTCTGTGGGGCCAAAATGAGCTGTAATCTGCCAAAAAAAAAAAGCTCCTGTACTTTTTTCAGCGACAGGCGTTTTGCTTATTGCGACAAAACGCTCAAATGTGAACAGGGCCATAGAAATGAATGGGATTTTTTTGGGGCAGGTTTTCTTTACGTTTTTTAGGTCAGAAAAAGCGCTACAAAACTCTCCGCATGAACCAGGCCTTAAAGAGCAACTAGTCAACCAATTTCATGTCTCCCAAAACAGTTACTTTTAAGGTCTCATACAAGCACTGGAGGAAAAGTCTGCAAAACACAGAGCATTGCACCCACCATCCACTAATCAAAGTCGCCAAAAAAATAATGTATTAATGCGAGTGCATTTATCATGATTATTTTCAAAAGCTGGACTATGCCTTTGATTCCCCCCCTAAGTGAGGGCAACTTTAGCCCATTTTGCTCAATTTATTTTATTAGAGGTAATATATTTTTTAGGAGCTGGTTTTTCAATATCATCTACAGTACATAAAATAAAATTGTCAATGACATAGAAATGCTGCTTCCTAAAAGTCAACGCATATCACACACCGCATACATGTCTATAATATTTCCTTATTTGACAGTTTGCCCTTTTCCAAGATGGCCGCCGAGCTGTTTCCTTTCTCAGCAGAAGCGTTTCTGGTCGCTATGGTAGCAGCTCTTGCACAAGCACAGTAGATGGCTGAGATTGTTCACATGACCTGCGTGAACCTCCGGGGGGGCCGCGCCAGGCCGATGACGTCACTGTGTAGTGGACTACAGAGAGAAGAAGAAGAAGAAGAAGAAGACGATTGTGGCCGGTGCAATCAGGTAGCGAGTTCAGAGAACCCGAAGCATGGCGGGACAGGGGGGCCCTCTGGGCTCCAGGTGTGATAAACATGGGGGCGGTGCCTATATTGTGACAGCTGTCATGAAACATACACAGAGAAGGGAAAGTTGGCTCCGTCTATGACTGATGCATGCTCAAACTGCATCCTCATTCGTTAAAATAACGTTTAATCCCCCGATTCCTCCTCTTCCACCATTAGTTTCATCATTTTTTAAGGTGTATTATCTTGAGTATAATGGTAGAGTGGCCATCTTTGCTTACAGCAATCACTTATACCCCGATCAGCCATTACATTATGGCCACCCACCTAATATTGGGTAGGTCCCCCTTTTCCTGACCCTTCGAGGCATGGACTCCACTAGACCTCTGAAGGTACGCTGTGGTATCTGAGACCAAGCCATCAGTACAGATCCTTTAAGTCCTGTAAGTTGTGAGGTGCGGCCTCCATGGATCAGATTTGGGGGCCTCCACACCTCGTTGGTGTGTTCCTCACCCATTCTTGGACCATTTTTGCAGTGTGGCAGGGCGCATTATCCTGCTGAAAGAGGCCACTCTCAGGGAATACCGTTTCCATGAAGGGGCGTACTTGGTCAGTGACAATGTTTAGGTCGGTGGTACATGTCAAAGTAACACCCACATGAATGGCAGGACTCAAGGTTTCCCAGCAGAACATTGCCCAAACCATCGCACTGCTTCCGCCAGCTTGTCTTCTTCCCATAGTGCATCCTGGTGCCATCTCTTCCCCAGGTAAGAGACGCGCACCCGGGCCATACACATGATGTAAAAGAAAAGGCCACCTTCTTCCATCGCTCTGTTGTCCTTTTCTGATGCTCACTGTAGGCATTTTGGGTGGTGGACATGTGTCATCATGGGTACCCTGAGCGGTCTGCAGCGCCATACCAAACAAACTGTGATGCCCCGTGTGTTCAGAGAGCTTTACATCAGAACCAGCATGAACCTTTTAGCAATTTGAGCTCCAGTAGCTCTTCCATTGGATTGGATCGCTCCCCGTGTGTATCAATGAGCCTCGGCTGCCTATGACCCTATCGCCAGTTCACTGCTTTTCTTTTATTGGACCACTTTTGGTCGGTCCTGACCACGGCAGACTGGGGACATCCCACAAGAGCTGCAGTTCTGGAGTTGCTCTGACCCCAGTCATCCAGCCATCACAATTTGGCTCTTGTCAAAGTCGCCCAAATCCTTACACTTGCCCATTGTACTTCACCTCTCTGTGGTCATAATGTTATGGCTGATCGGTGTACATCCCTATTACATATTAAGTTGTGTGATATAAGCTTATTGTGATATTCTTCATTGGATGGATTGTTTCCTTATATTCCACCTTAACTTTTCTATCTTCATGTTTTTCTGGCCGAAGGAACTTTAACCAATAACACGTTGGAGATATTTCACAGTTCTATCTTAAAGATGGAGGATAAAAGGGACAATGACAGCAGTCCTTGTGAAGATGGTCTTTGTAACAAGCTTAGTGTGAGGAAAAGGCGGTCTACTAGAAGGACATCTTACATGTCTGCATCTGCTGGAGGACGGACCACCATGACTGCACCCAGAGACCGGACTAAATCCTCAAATCCTGACTCTTGTGAGGAGGAAAAGTTAGATGGCCGTGGCGGGTTTTCACCAATACTGGGAAACATTAAGGTGAAAGAAGAATACGTGTCCTCTGGGGAAGAAGACACATCTTCTGGACAACGAGAAGAAAATGTGTCCTCTGTGCAAGGAGAAGTGTCCTTCAGGGAAGGAGAAGAAGAAGTGGCCTTCAGTGCAGGAGACACGCCTTCTGGAAAAAAAGGTCTGAGGAACATTGAGCCTGTTCAGAATTCTACTGGTACCCAACATAAACGGGGGCGGGGCATGTCAAAGTTTAATATCGGTCGATCTAAAGAGATCTCTGAGGACCTCAGGAAACAGGTTGTTGAAGCTCATAAGAGTGGAAAGGGTTACAAGAGGATTGCCAAAGACCTGGATCTACATCTGTCCACAGTCAGAAAGATTGTTTACAAATGGAAAAAATTCAGCACCGTCGCCACTCTCCCTAGGAGCGGGCGTCCTACAAAGATCGGCGCAAAGGCGCGCCGTACAATCCTCAAACACATGAGGGAGAACACTAGGGTGACGGCAAAGGACCTGAAGGCATCTCTGGCACTTGATAACATCAACGTTCATGAGTCTACTATAAGGAAAACACTGAGCAAGTGGTGTTCGTGGGACTTTACCATGGAGGAGGCCACTGCTCTCCAACAAGAATAATTGGGGGTCTGTCTTATGTTTTCTGAAGACCACGTGGGTCTTTCAGATAATTAATGGAACCATTTTATATGGACAGATAAGACCGCAATTAAGCTTTTTTTTTTTTTGCCATATGTACATAACATTATGTTTTGATAGAACACCAAATATTCATCCAAACTGTGAAGCATGGTGGAGGGAACTTCAAAGATTTCCTGCCTCACAGCACGGATGGATTGCAATTGGTGGGGAACCGATGCCTTTAAAGTTGTAGCACATCATCAGATTCTTCTGCAGAATGTCAGAGTATCTGCCCAGAATCTAAGACTCATAAGAAGGTTTTGTATGCAGGGGACAATCAAAGACGTAAATCCTAACTGGACAATATACAATTAGCTTTAGCACTCTGTTTCATAAACAATTGTTTATTATAGTTTATTTTCCTATAAAGCACTGCTTTCCCCATTCTTTTCTGCATCTCAGCACTTCTAATCACCCCCAGTTTTTTTTAACCACTTCCTGTCCACATGCGCTCAGTCAGGCATTAGCTACACATCACTGCTCAGTATAAAAGATGAGGTCAGGTTTTGATAGAACCCCCGAGCACATCTGAACGCGTCTCAATCGTCCCACGCCCTGCAGCTTCACCTAAGGGGCAGGATGCTGGTGACATCATTGACTTTATACGGCCACATATATAATGATGTCATCAGCATTCCCGCCCCTTTGTTTATGCGAAGCTGGCAGACGGGGAATTTCCCCCAACCACAGCTGACGGGGCCAGCATTGATGGCTTCCTTCCAGGTCTGGTCTCAACCCGAGCTCAGAACTACTCGGGAGCAGTTTACTGATAGTGACGGTGGCAGAGCATACCTGTGCAGTGTGCGTCAGCTTGTCACTGACGCATGTCACAGTTTGACAATCCAAGACACTGACAGCGAGCGGTTTTACCAGACAGGAAGTGATGGCTAATCCACAACCGGTAAGACGGAAATAATAAGACTGCAGCCTTCCCTGTTCTACTAAAGCAGGGGGAGCCAAACTCCGGCCCACCAGCTGTGGTGAAACTACAAATCCCATGATGCATCTCTCTCCGGGAGTCGTGGCTGTGAGAACTTTGCAATGCCTCATGGGATTTGTAGTTCCACCACAGCTGGAGGGGCCGGAGTTTGGCTACCCCTGTACTAACGGAAGGCATTTGTTCCTGTCTGTGTTGCTCTTGGCAAATTCTCCTTACTTCCTGCCTGGTAGAATGTTGTAAGAAAGACAGGAAGTAACAGTAAATTACTCTAAGCCCCACTTGTAGCAGTAAAAACCTACCAGGGGTTGTAAACCTTCCCCACTCCCCCAAAAAGTTTTGCAAATACACTTTTATGCACCTCTGCGGTGTAAGTATTGAATTTGACTTGGTATCAGCCTCTTGCAGCCCCTCCCTGAATTTGACTTGGTATCAGCCTCTTGCGGTCCCTCCCTGAATTTGACTTGGTATCAGCCTCTTGCAGCCCCTCCCTGAATTTGACTTGGTATCAGCCTCTTGCAGTCCCTCCCTGAATTTGAGCCTCTTGCAGCCCCTCCCTGAATTTGACTTGGTATCAGCCTCTTGCAGTCCCTCCCTGAATTTGACTTGCTATCAGCCTCTTGCAGTCCCTGTACAGCAGAGCTCACACTGGGGACGGGAGAAGCAGCACAAGGAGCCAATCGTTTGTGCTAGAATTCAAGAGACACGCTGACAAGAAAAGAAAACATCAATGTGCCACTTCTGCTTCCACTGTCACAGGTTGGAGGAGGGACAAGACCTGCGTGTTACTAACCTGCAGCAGAGGGGAAAAAACGGTCCTTTTTCCTGCTAGATGGGGCTGTTGTGTGTGAGAGAGCTGTGTACATCTCAGGAGTGGATGGACAGAAATAAAAATTATTGGGCAGGTAAAACAGCTTCTCGTGTATGTACTTGCAGACACCTTGGTACCCTTACATTCCTCCTGACGAGTAAAGCAATTGTCTCTGGTAAACCTGCACGGCTTTAGTATGTCATTGAGCAAAGCAACAAAGGAGTCAATATAGATCAATTATTGCTTATTCACAGGAGATGTTCTAAAACGGCCCGGACAGATTTGTTGGGACCCCTAGAAATCAAAAGTAATTGGATCATAGTAATATTTCAAACTGTTTTCTGTAAGTAGTATCACACACGTCTTCAATCTTGTAATTGCTGAATCAGTCTTATTATAATGGAAAAGAATGCATGACTCTGCTGTTTGGTGTCATCACGTGCACCACGCTGAACATGGACTAGAGAGGGTGAAGGAGAGAGTTGACTGAGCACATTATAGGCCAGGAATAGGCAACCTTGGCACTTGTTGTGGAACTACAAACCCCTGTCATGCCTCTGCCTCAGGGTGTCATGACTAGGGTTGTCAGAGTCTTGCAATGCCTTATGGGACTTGTAGTTTCATCACAGCTGAGGTTGCCTATCGCTATGATAGACCAGCATGTCAAAGGTAAAGGCTATAAGACCAGCTCCAAGCAGCTTGATGTTCCTGTGACTACAGTTGCAAATATTAATAAGTTTAAGGTACATGGGAGTGTACACAACCATCCTGGATGTGGCCACAAGAGGATAATCGACCCTGGATTGAACAGAAGGATAGTTCGAATTGGGCGTAACTAGAAGTCACAAGGCCCAATAGCAAAATTTTATGTGCAGCCCTGTGATTTCTAGTTACGTCCCTTGCAGAGCCTCCCTGAGATCCCACACAGCCCACCTGAGAGTGACCCTGCAGAGGCTGCCATAAACGCTCTATGGTGGGCTCTGCAGGGTCTCAGGTGGGCTGGTCACACCCCTGCACACCTGTCGGCCCCGATCCGCTGTCAGCATTCTCCACCGGCGGGCCCCACCTCCTCAGTTACTGACGGGCCCCGCCTCCTTTATTGTCGCCGGGCCCCACCTCCTCCTACGCTGCCGTCGCCGAGCCCCCCCCCCTCCTATGCTGCCACCACCAGGCCCTCAGCCTCCTCCACTGCAAGCTGCTGGCTGTCACTGACTCAGCAGCGGCTGTGAGGAGGAACGCGCCGTTGCACAGATCACTGACAGGTTGTCGGTGATCTAACAGCGACACGTTACTCCTCACAACTACTAGTGACAGCCTGCGATGCCATAGTGACCCAGGTGGCCTGCACGGCATCAGGGGGACCCCTTTGTTCCTTGTCCGGGCCCTGAGCCCCATAGCAGTCGCTATGGCGATAGTTCCACCACTGGTTCGAGTGGTGGACAAGGAGAACTTCCAAAGAGATTCAAGCTGAACTCCAAGGCCAGGGTACCTCAGTGTCGGATCGCACCATCCGTTTCTTTTTGGGCTCAAAGGAAAAAGACGCAGGAGGACTCCACTGTTAAAGCATAAAAGAGCCAAACTGGAATGTATTAAAATGCATATTTACACGACAGAATTTACTAAGATTGGAGCAGACAGAATCTGGAGCAACCAATCAGCGTCTGTTCATTTTTAAAGCTTAACTCAGGGGTAGCCAAACTTCGGCCCTCCAGCTGTGGTGGAACTACAAATCCCATGGGGCATTGCAAGATTCTGACATGACTGCCGGAGAGAGATGCATCATGGGATTTGTAGTTTCACCACAGCTGGAGGGCCGGAGTTTGGCTACCCCTGGCTTAACTGAACAAGCTGTAGAAGCTGATTGGTCGCTGATCAATGCTTCTCCAGATTCCGCCAGCTCCAGTTTTAGGAAAATTCTTCCAAAGATTCTAGGAGAATGTCCTTTGGGGCAGAAGAGATGCTGGAGCTTTTTGGAAACTCACATCAGATGTGTAAAAAAAAAAAATGAAGAACACTGTACCTACTGTGAAACTTGGAAGAGGCTCGGGTGTGTTTTGAAGCTGCATTTGGCATGGGGTGCCTTCATTCTGTACAACGCACAATAAAACCTCAAGACTGTCAAGAGATTCTAGAGCAAAACGTGCTGCCCAGTGTCAGAAAGCTCAGTCTCAGGTCATGGGTCCTTCATCAGGATGGTGACCCAAAACACGTAGATAAAACGACCCAAGAACGGCTAAGAACAAAACATTGGACTATTCTGAAGCGGCCTCTTATGACCACTGATCTGAATCCTCACCGAACATCTGTGGAAAGAGCTGAAACATGCAGTCGTTCTCCGCATGCCTTCCACTGCACTAGATGAGGGGCTCCTCAGCCTCCCGTTAGCACAGCACTGTCAGTTCTAGGGCTGGGCAACCATTCAAAATATGCAGCCAGGAGCCGAGTGTCAGCTTGAGGTGGGTTGGTGGTATGGCCGCAAGGGAGCTCCATCCATAGTGCATTGCTTACAGCTCCGTTACGCGCCATGTAGTGGTGCCTGGACCGGAGTGACGTCACAGGGTGCGCAAGAGAGCTGTACAAGCAATGCCCATATGGAGGGAGCTCTGTCACAGTACAGCAGTTCACACTGGACCGCAGGTGGATCCTAAAAATTTTTAAAGTAAACATTTTTTCGAGTGTGTATATGTGTGAGAATGTGCCTGTGGTTGTGTACCAGTGTTTGTGAGGGCCCATTCACACTAATACAGTACGTTAATCGCACAATCCCGTGCAATTAACACACTGTGCCATGTGCGGGAGGTGCGTCACATTGCCATTTATTTGAATGGCACACCAAACGCACCTCGCATCCCCAGTTTTATCGACCACACCAGAACGCGCGATACCACAATGACGGCCGTGCAATTTGCTTTGCGTCTTAATGACCAAGGAGAAATGGGGGTCCTGAGGTTACACAGGTTGTCCTAGAGGGTGTGCAACTAAATATTAGGTGAAGTGGAACTATGGGTGTGATAAAGAATTAAATATATGATGTAGTCTGTTTTTCAACTTCCCTCACCAGGCCAAGCTGTCCAGCACAAGTGTCAGTAAGGCTGGGTTCACACCTGGGCGTTTTTCAGCACTGATCGAAGCGCTGAAAAACGCTCAGCAAGCGAAATCCCATAATTTCCTATGGTCATGGTTCCCACCTGGGCGTATTTCAGCTCGTGGAGACGCGATGAAAAACACCCTACGCCCAAACAAGTACAGGAGCTTCTTTTGGGGCGTATTTCCACGCGTATCCATTGGTATTCCAGAGTGTGGCTCGGGGTTAACAAAGCGGTAACCCCCGAGCCACACTCGGGAATACAGCGTAGGTCTTACCTTGTCCGCGATCCCCGCTGTGCGCTCCGGCCGCTGCTGTCTTCCGGGTTCTGTCCCTTGCGAGTGTCCGCGTCACAGGGGGCCAGAACCGGCGGGAAGTTTGAAAGCTAAAGAAAAAACCCCGAAAAATAGATAGAGAAAATATAGGAAAAAATAAATAAAAAATCATACCGCCAGGGAGGTATAAAAACAAGCGTCGAATGCGCGTTTCACTGGACAGAAAAACGTGCTAAAAACGAGCTGAAAAAACGCACCTATAGCAACGCCTAGGTGTGAACACAGCCTTAGAGTGTTTATATAATTGTTTATATAATGTTACTCCAGATATTCAAAATATTACTTGTAATTTATGCATTATATCCAAATATTTTGATATATTTGTGTTATGAGTTAATAATAGCTCTTCAACACAATTTCGGTGTTGAGAATTTTTTTATATTACCCTAAATAGTTATTTCGACCACTGCTTTGTACATTTTTGTATTGTTATATATTTTGATAGAACCAGTCCCCATGATTTATAACGCCCCCCTCCCTCAGTGCAACGTTTTGCCCTAGTTAAAAATGGCCGCCCAGCCATCGCCTCGCTGGAAGCATCAGTGTCGCCGTGGCAACACAGCTCCCGCACATGCGCGGTCCCCGAGGTGTACGGGAGAACGGAGAGGGACTCCCATGATCCCGCGCGCTACACTGCTCCAGGCAGGTGACGTCACAATGTAGAACCTCTGCGGAGAGAAGCCCAGGTGTCCGCAGATCAGGTACCCAGAGTGTACGGGGAGCCCCGGACATGCCAGCACGGGCTAGTCAACATTTACTGGTACCCGGGGACCATCTGTCCTCAGTTTGCAGGGACGGTGGCTTGATTTTAAAGGACTGTACCTAGGTAGACACTATGCAATGCTGCTCAGCTGCAAAATACAGGTTCTCCTATGTTATTATGGAGATCAGATGCTCTGAGAAGTTTTCTTTTATTGTTTTTTTTTTTTATTGTTACTATTATAAATGATAAATATGTATAACTCCCAGCTGCCTAGTGCTTCGCTTTATTTGTATAATTATTGGGCTATACTTATCTTATATATCGTAGGCATGCCGTACAGATTATTATTTTTATTTTAAGACTCGCGTTATTTACCGCTTGCGGCCTGTAAACAATTTCTTACTATTCGCACACACACCATAAAATCAGAATTTTTGGCTAGAGAACAGCTTCAGACCCCCAAACAATGATATACATTTTGAAAGCAGAGGACCTGTAGAATAAAAAAATGCTAGTTTCACTTTTTTAATGTTGCACGGTATTGGCGCAAATGTTTATCAGACCAGTATTTTTAGGATAAAATACACTAAAATGAAATTTAGTGCGCATAAACAGAATATAATACCCAATTGTTTGGTAAAATATAAAAGACGGGGTCACGCCGGGTAATTAGATACCAAACATGTCAAGCCTTAAAATTGCGTGCGTCCGTGAAACTGCAACAAAGCTACAATACCCCAAACTTACCATAGGCGACGCTTTAAAAGCTTTTGCTGCTCATCAGTTTAGTGTTAACAGTGATTGATGGGTCTAGAATTATTGCTCGCACTCCGACATTCGTGGCGATATATAACGTGTGGCGCAATTTTTGTTTTTGCACGTAGGTGCATCCGATGCGTGTTTGCTTTGTATGTGCGGGGGACTTTTTTGTGTGTGCATTTTTTCATTTTTTTTTTATGTTACTTACATTTTTTTCTTTTTAACACTCAACTTTATTGCTATCACATAGGGGGCCAACAAGCAAATAGGGTGTGACAGGTCCTCTCTATGGAGACATCAGTTGTCGTTCGGACCCCTAATGTCACCTAGGGACCCCAAAGAAACTGATGAAGCGGAGATCTGCTTCACCAGCTTCTTCTGGCTCTAAGAGCTGGTATTCTATCAAAAGCTCCGACTTACCGAAATCTCCAACTACCTCAGTGCCGGGCACGTTGGAGATTTCGACCAGACGGCGTTAGACTGCAAAACAAAAAGACTGACGGAGCCTCTGTACAGCTGCATGTTAACAATATTCAGCAGGTGGCAAAGTCGAAGAGTACTTTAAAAACGCTACTGTACAGAGCTCCAGTCTTTTTGAGCACGGGAAGCGAGGTAGTTGGAGATTTCGACCAGACGGCGTTAGACTGCAAAACAAAAAGACTGACGGAGCTCTGTACAGCTGCATGTTAACAATATTCAGCAGGTGGCAAAGTCGAAGAGTACTTTAAAAACGCTACTGTACAGAGCTCCAGTCTTTTTGAGCACGGGAAGCGAGGTAGTTGGAGATTTCGATGAGTTGGAGTTTTCGATCGAACACCGGAGACTGTGCCCAGTGACACAGGAAGTGATGTAATACACATCACTTCCAGGTTCAGTGATCAGAGGAGAGATCAGCAGCTGGAAGCTTGCTCCCGGGCCCGCACAGGGCAAATCGGAGCCCGGGGAAACCGGGAGCGGGGATGACGGCACACAGTGCCGCACCGTACAAACAATCTGGCACCTGTACAGACGCCAGATCGCGTGTAGGGAAACAGCAATCGCCTGCCGTATAAAACGATACCTAGAACACGGTTGCACGAGCAGCCTTGTTCTTGGTATAACCAGGCTGGTGACGTGTATTTTAGTAGTTAATAAGCTTCAGGCAAACGGGCAAATACGTGCCGGAATGACATAGATGTGAGCAGTTTTGCTTGCCTAGTGATTTCCTATTCTTTCTGGCCAGCTTTGTGATCCCGAGACCCCTGCCAGGTCTTATATCTCCGCAATGCAGCCAGGATTCTCCTCGCTCTCTCTGATTGGATAATGGAGACGCAGGAGACTGATGAGGTCATCCCTCTCCATTCATGTAAGAATCCTCTTACAGGCAGGGCAGCCATTAGGGGGGTACGGCCGATACTCATGTAAGGGGCCTGGGGAGGCCCACATGGGTCCCTTACATGACTATCGGCCAACGGTGAAGGGCGAGGAGGCAGAGGCCTGGCCCTAGCAGCACAGGGCCCCAGCATTGCCGCACCAGCGGCTTTGAGACAAGCTAGGACCCCGTCAGCGACGCTGCTCGTCTGATTTTCGGACTGGCCGGCCTAAAGCCGTGTAAAATTTCTGATGGCTGCCCTGCTTACAGGTTGAATGACATCCGGACTCATTCGCCCCACTTCTTGCGAGCTCAGGCCACACCATTCAAATATATAAGTATGTAGAAAAGCCAAGAGCAGACGCAATTTTAAGGTTGGCTTCCTTGCGTTCCTAAAATAGTTTTCTCTCGCTTTCCCGTTTAGATGGATCATTAGCTCCTGGAGGCTTTTCATGTTTTGGAGATGGAAGCTAAGAGTGACGTCACCCCCGCTGAGCGTAGAGAAGGCCACAGTGAGAGGCCATGTATGAGGAACAGACAGAATGCTGAGAACCCATCTGATGTGGTCACCATTGGTGAACAGGAAGGCGGAACCCAAGCCAGTGTTAAAAACGACCCAGATTGGAATAACGATGAAGACTTCACTGGTCCTACCACTCCACCCCAGCTTGATATTGAATCTGTTCAGATTAAAGAAGAGACGCCATCGTCCGATGAAGACATTATGACTTTTACGGTTCCCGATTGTCCCCTTCCTCAATGTCTGCAGGAATGTGCTACCAGCCAGGCTTCACAAGGAAGCTTCGATTGCTCGGAATGTAGCCAACACTTTTCAAGTGAGGAGGATCTTCCAACTCATCAGGAGAGCCACCAAGGAGCAGGTGTGGATAACGTGGAGCCACCTTTAGATAGCTCTGGTCCACATGGCCAACGGAAGCCTTCAGAGCTCTTTATATGCACTTACTTGAACTGCCAGAGACACTTTATAAATAAGGCGGGTCTGAAAACTCACCAGAAGAGTCACGAAAAAGCCAATGTGCACCTAAATCCGGCCTCAGACACTTCTTGTCTGAAGGATCAACAGAAGCTAGCAAACCTTTTTATATGTTCTTATTCCGAATGCCAGAAACTCTTTGTGAACAAAGATGATCTGCTGACTCATCAGGAGAGTCACCAAGGACAAAATGTACGTTTAGAGTCGCCAGTAGATGGGTCTGGTTTACCCGTCCAGAAGACTTCATCGAAACTCTTCATATGTTCGCACTGTGGGAAGTCGTACAACCATATATCGCTCTACAAAGTCCACATGAGGGTCCACACGGGGGACAAACCTTTTTCCTGTAGTGACTGCGGCAAATGCTTCACCCGCAAGTCAGAGCTGATCGCTCACCAGAGGATTCATACTGGGGAGAAGCCCTATGCTTGCTCAGTGTGCAGCAAGAGGTTCACAAACCAGTCCGGCGTGATTGCACACGAGAGGATTCACACAGGCGAGAAACCCTTTGCCTGCACCGAATGCGGGAAAAGTTTTACTGACCGGTCCGGGCTCTATACGCACAAGCGAGTCCACACCGGTGAGCGCCCCTTTGAATGTTCCGATTGCGGGAAACGCTTTCAGACTCGATCGCTCTTGATCACACACCAGCGAACTCATACCGGGGAGACTCCGTTCCCTTGCCTCGAATGTGGGAAAAGCTTCGCAAGAAGTTCTGTCCTTTCCGCACACCAGAGGACGCACACGCAGGATAAGCCACACGTCTGTAAAGAGTGCGGGAAGAGGTTCGCCAGCAACACCAATCTGGAGACCCACCAAAGGATACACTCTGGTGAGAAGCCATTTGTTTGCCTCGAGTGCGGCAAATGCTTTTCAGACCGTTCATGCTTCTCCGTGCATAAGCGGGTTCACACTGGCATCCAGCCCTATACCTGCGTCCAGTGTGGGAAGAGTTTCCCTAGTCGCTCTCACCTCATCCGGCATGAGCGCATTCACACAGGAGAGAAACCATTTTCGTGCCCTGTGTGCTCAAAGAGCTTCAACTGTAAAACGAGTTTGGTGGGCCACCAACTCATCCATACGGGAGAGAAACCATTCTCCTGCCCGGAATGTGGCAAGTGTTTCCGTGGCCGGTCAGCTGTCATCACTCATAGGAGAATTCACACGGGTGAAAAACCATTTTCCTGTTCAGAGTGTGGGAAGTGTTTCTCCGACCAGTCGGGTCTTATCACACATCGGAAGATTCATCGTGGCAATAAGCAATACGAGTGCCCGGACTGCGGAAAATGCTTTGTGCTGAAGCACTACCTGACCCGACATTTGACCACTCATGTGGTTAAAGTGACAATTACCTAGCTTATAGGTAACCTGTCATCAGGGATATATAAGGGCAGCCATTGCTGATCTCTTCCTGAGAGTGCCGGTTCCCTGGTTGATGTGTTTCAGTACTTTCAGAGTCACAGTCCCAGAACACGTACACAGGTCAGAAAACCCTATCTGCTTACGTTTTCATGGTCAGTGACTGAAGGGATTGAAACAAGAGGGCCACCATGACAGCCAGGCAGGTAGCATTGTCAGAAGGTTGTTGCAGTATTGGCAGCATCTGTGTTTTCTGATATCTAATGACAGGTTTCCTTAAAAAAAGGACATTAAGAGAATTCCCCACCTTTAGTCCATTCACTGGAATACCCTTTAATTGTGGCTGCAGTTATGATAGGTCAGACAAGTCACAATGAAAGGTGAATGAAATGTTCCACTGAATGGACTGAAGGTGGAATATTCCTTTAATTTTCTTTTTTAAGACATCCCTCAATTGTCTTTTCCTTGCCTCAGATACAGGTTGCATTGGGGCCCTCAGAGGTGCTTGCCAGTTATCTCCAATTGAATGACTACTCAACATTTAACGGAGCAGTTAAACCCCATTGGTCATTTTTTTTTAGACACCTCAATGGGTTTTGTCCTCCCATATAGACAGAAGGGGAAGAAAAAGTCCTCGTAAAACTAATAACAAGTAGATACTAGAGGCAACTCAACCCTTTGATTTCCAACACTACACCCGATGGCGTAAAGCAGCTTTTAAAAGTATGCAGAATCTTGGGGAACCCCAGTCTAAAATGTAAAAACCGTAAAGATCAAGAAAATCACGTGTGGTCCCTCCAAAATTCAAACCAGACCCTTATCTGTCAGGTATGGTTTTTATGGGGGAACCCCAAGCAAAAACCATGTGGGGTTCACATTCTGCTTCACAACAGAGTCCCCCTTTTCACATCAGCGTTCCCCTTTAAGAGCCAACCTTCTTATTAGTAGCCCTTCTTCACCGTAGAGTCCCCCTTTTTCACATCAGGAGCCCCCACTTCACATCAGAAGCACTATTCCCATTGGAGACATGATGAAGATACATTTTTAAGGCACCCTTAAAGAAGCCAGATGGCACCCTGGTTGAGAAGTACACCATCTTGATTTCTACTATGACTTGAGTCCTAAAATCTGAAATATGCCAACGTTTCCTGTGCTATTGCCTGCACGGTCATAAAATATGGTCCCGGTTTGAGCAGGGCAACCTTGACCAGACCAGTCAATGGTCAGTCCATCCAAGTTTTTGGTAGCTAATGGAGAGTTAAACCACCTGACAGTTCTTCTGTCTCTTGGGGACTTTCTTGGGAAGATGTCTGAGATGAGTTCCCAGGTCTGTTTGCCTGCTGTGCCAGTTATGAGGGGCACCTCCTCTCTCACCTGCTGGATTTTATATGTATTTTATTTATAACAGTTGGAACTGAAAACGTCCAAAGGTTGGGCAGGTAAACCCAAAACTCTCGGGTGGGCAGAAACTAAGGAAGAGAGTTGGAAATAATGTTTGAGTATCTAAGGCAGTGGTTCTTTCTAGGGGTTCTGTCGGTGAAAAAAAACAAAAACTTTCTCCTGGAAAGGTTTAGTCTGCTCGATGAGAACGTTTTTGTTTTTTCTGACTGAAAAAAAAGAGCAGAGAAAGTGCTTCTCTCCTGGGTGGCCGGAAGCCGCTAGGCGACCCCTGGCAAATCGTCATTCGACCCCCGACGGGGTCCCGACCCCAGGTTGAGAACCACTGATCTAAGGCATTAGGAATCCAAGGGCAGTGCCTGCCCAGCAGGTTCTACCCTAGCCCTAACCTAAAAGATCACTTTTGGGTAGACTAACACTTTAATTAGTAAACTGACCATTCCTAAAAACAAACGCCCAGTCACAGAATAATCCTTGGTAATGTCTCAGATCCCCTTCCAACTCAAAAGATAAATGTCTTATCAAAATGAAGTCCAACATTGGTCTACCATGATGTCTTACAGTTTACTGTACCTCGGTTACCAGGCTCCCATCTATGTAGTTCATATTGCAAGGACTGGGTGGACCCAACTGTCTACTTAGGTTGGTGTCTTTATATGAATTTGAAGGATTATCGCCAGGGCCGGATTTTCCACAAGCCAACCAAGGCCCGGCCTTAGAGCAGCAGGGAGTAGAGGGGCGGCAGGGGTGTGGAATTCCTATCTCCCAATGCCGGGGACATGCAGTTCCGGGCGCTGGGTGGGTAGTTGTTTTCTACATTTAGCCCTGCTTTGGACAAGAAGAGGGAGTAAATCCGGCCCTGATTATCGCTGTGATGCTGAAAGAGTTTGGTAGCCACTTTCCCTTTTTTGACTGGAGAACATCAGCACAGTGTGGAAAGGAGCATGTGGACACCATTTATGGGCTTACTCAAAAATAGGGCAAGGAGCAAAGCACCAAGTGCACAGTGCCATACCCAGGGGCGTCCCGAGGCTGGGTTACACCCGGAGCGGTAAGCGAGTGTCACCCCGCCGAGACCTCACTGCGCACGCGCGTGACGTCATCACGCGCGGCAGTATTCTGATACCTGCCGGCGGCCATCTTGGTGTTTACGTGGCACGTAACACTGTTCCAGGTCAGTCATACAGAAAGCATTGAAGGCAGAGGCTGCAATGGTGACCTCCTCTATTAGTAATGCTGAACTGGATGCAGTACGTTCGGAGTCACCACTGCATGCTTGTTCCAGGGCAGCGACTCAAAGTATTAAAACAAGTTAACTAGCATTTTCACAACAAGGTCAGCAGACAGTGGCGTAACAATTGCCATAGCGACCCAGGCGGTCGCTATGGGGCCCGGGCACAGGGGGCCCCGGCAAGGGCAGCTATGGCATGTAGGGGTGCTGGCTGTCACTGACACAGCTCAACAGCGGCCCCGGGGATGGCCCGGCGACCACAGAGGCGGACATCGCTGACAGGTAAGAGATCTCAGACCCTGCAGAGCCCACTATAGAGAGTCTATGGTGGGCTCTGCAAGTGGCATAACTAGCAATCACGGGGCCCCATACAAAATTTTGCTATGGGGCCCTGTGATTTCTAGTTACGCCCCTGTCAGCAGACATTTATTATATTACAGGTCTGCTTTAAGATGTGAATAATTATTACCCTTTTATAGTCTGCCTTCCCCCTCCTGCCTCAATGCCTCACCCATGAATCTCCACTGATGGGTTTTAATTAAAATAAATTGGTATAAAAAGCGTGTACTTCATGGAAACTTTATTGTTATTATTATTATATCATTTAGAAATTAAACTAACTCATTTTTTCAGTTATTTTCTTGCTATGACTGAGTGTGCATACACTTGACTGTTGCCGAATAATAAAATTAATTATTACTATTACTTATTAATAATAATAAATACATTTAATTGAAGTCATACAATGAACTCGGATCACACTAATCCAGCACGTTATTATTCTGAGTTGCCCCACTCAAGCGGCGGCCATATTGAGTGGGGCACGTAAGATTAATAACGTGCTGGATTAGTGTGATCCTAGTTCATTTTATTACTTCATTGCTGTGCTGTATGTGTATAGGCCAATGTAGTTGGATCTGTATGTGCGTTATAATTCATCGAAAATTAATCGATTACATTTTTTTTTTCGATTAATCGAACACGAAAATTTGAATCATTACCAGCCCTAACATTTAATAAAAATGGAATCATTAAAGCTGAACTCTTTACCCTGGCAGAGGACCTCCCTTCCCCCCGCCAGGGTTAACTGCACACTATACCTAGGGGATGATGGAAAATGTGGTGCGTGGAGCCCAGCTCAGGGGGGTAAAGATTTTATGTCTCCGGAATTCAGCTTTAAATAATGAATTGCACCTATAGATTTTCCATCGGAAATTTTCGTTGCTGCCAAGAACCCTTGTGTTCGATCCTAGCTCAAATACCCCGTCATCCAAAGACCAACGTCGATTTCGATAATCGTTCGTCAGCAACACCAACTCACCAAATGTTGTCGACCGACAGAACGGATTTTGGTTTGCGCATGTGTAGCGTTCTTGCTGCAATTTTTTGTGTGTACAAAAACATCACTAATCCATCAATTTTTGTTCGATTGGAAAAACGTCTTCCAGCCTGACCCATCGAGGATATTCGAGCGGGATTAAAGTAAAAAAAAAAGCGTTGGTGTCCCATCTACTGTTTGATTTCCCTTCAAAAGTCCATTCGTGGTAGATTTCCGAACGAAAGTCGAAGAGTGTTTGGGCACCTTTATGCAAAGCAGACACAATTTTGTTTGTTCAGTGGCGTCATAAGGGGGTTGCGGGGAATGCGGCCCGCACCCGGGTGACACCATTGGAGAGGTGTCAACAAAATGACTGTCAGTCATTTTGGCGTCACCCCCTCTGAAAAGTCAGGCACTTGGTCATGGACCGAGCGCCCGTCAGTTTCTGGAGAGATGATGGGACCCGGCGGCATACCTTATCCCCTCCTCTCTCTATGCCGGTGTCCATCACCAAGATGGCTGCCGGCAGGTATCATAAAGATTGCCCCACATGCGCGATGACGTGACACCCGGCCTCGGGATGCCACTGTGTTTGTTCACACATAAATACAATAAAGCTGTGTTTGAGTCTCTTAACCGCTTCAGCTCCCGCACCTGTACACCTATTATGGGCCTCAAGATTCAGCAATAACTTTGTCATTATTTATGATATGGAAGTAACACATTGGGACAAACAAGGTTTTATTTTGGCATTGTTACATTGGCAAGATTATTTAACTTTTTTATGCAACCTACAGACAAAATAAAAAAAGTATATATATATTTATGTGAGATTTAGCTTCCAATGGTAGCGCATTAAGGACGCATCTACTCGCTTACGACTTCTGGTATAAAATTAATTTCAGTACAGCGCTGCATGACGGAATAAACGTCAGTCAAAGTACCGCAGCGCTGAATACTGAAAAATGGCCTGGCCAGGAAGGGGGTCTAAACACCTGGGCTTCAAGTGGTTAAGGGCTTCCTTGCCCACTTTTATTGAATCCAACTCAA